ACTCTTCAAGTACTGCAAGATACAACACACAGTAGCAAAATGAGGTGGGCGAGGAACATGCATAAATTGACTGACCACACCCACAACATAAGTAATATCTGGATGAGTGATAGTGAGATAGATTAACTTTCCAACCAACCAACGATAATGACCAATTTCAGGAAATAAGTCCCCAATTTCACCATCAAGTTGGACGCTAGAATCCATGGGAGTAACACTAGGGCGAGTGCCTAAGAGACTACTCTCAGCGAGAAGATCAAGAACATACTTCCGTTGAGAGAGAAACAAGCCTTGAGATGAGCGAGCAACTTCAATCCCAAGAAAATACCGAAGATGACCAAAGTCTTTGGTGTGAAATTGTTGGCCTAAATACCATTTCAAATCAGCAATACCAGTGGAGTCACTCCTAGAAATGATGATGCCATCCACATAGACAAGAAGACTCCCAGAAGATGAGTGGTGAACAAAGATAGAGTGATCAAAAGTGGAATGACAAAATCCATAGGCAATGACAACAGCACTGAAGCGATCAAACCAAGCACGAGAAGACTGCTTGAGACCGTACAAGGCCTTCCCCAAGCGACAAACAAAATGCTCTTGACCAGGCACAACATAGCCAAGGGGCTAATCTGGATAGACCTTTTCTTGGAGATCGCTATAAAGAAAGGCATTCTTGATATCAAGTTGATACAAAGGCCGAGAGTGACTAACTGTAACGAAGAGAAGGATCCGAACAGAGTTAAACGGGCCACAGGAGAAAGTCTCTAGATAATCAACGCCATAAGTTTGGGTGTAGCTCTTAGCGACCAGGCGAGCCTTAAGCTGCTCAACAGTCCCATCAGAAAGATACTTAACAGTATAAATCCAACAACAACCTACAATAGATTTGCCAGAAGGTAGAGGGGTAAATTCCCATGTTTGATTCTTATGCAGGGCATACATTTCTTCATCCATAGCATGCTTCTAACCAAAGATAGACATAGCCTGCTGATATGAGTGGGGAATGGTAATACTAGACAAACTGCTCAACTGAGTAAAGACCAGGAGAGAGGCGATCATAAGAAACAAAATTAGTAATAGGATGTTGAGTGCAAGTACATTTACCTATATGGATAGCTATAGGAAGGTCATCTGAAGATATATCGGCGGATGGAACAGAAGAGACGGGAACCTCAGATGAAGGAGATGAACTAGTTAGGCCATAAGACACAATGTGACGAGTTTGAGACTGTTGATAAACCTGCAATGGAGACGTAGAGGCGAGATTGGAAGAAGGTGATATACGAGAGGAGGAGAAAGGAACATAAAAAGAAAGAGTAGGAGTGAGAGAGGCTCACTCCCCCTTAGGATAAGAGAGAAGATCAGTGGATAGCTGTTGTCTAGGGGAGGAGAAAAATAGAATGGACTCAAAAAAGGTAACATCAGCACTGACAAAGTAGCAATGTGACTTAAGATGATAACAACGATGCCCTTTCTGATTGCGAGAATAGCCTAAGAACGCAGACCTGCATGCTCAAGGAGATAACTTATCCAACCAGGGTCAAGAACATGGACAAAGGCCACACAACCAAAAATGCGATGAGGTAGAGTAAAAGGAGATATTGTGGGATATAACAGAGAATAGGAAGATGTGTGTACAACACTAGAGTGCATGCGATTGATAAGTAAACAAGCGGTGAGAACTGCATCGCCCCAAAACTGTTTGGGGACATGCATATTAAACATCAGTGTGCGAGCAACATCTAACAAATGGCAGTGTTTCCACTCCGCAACACCATTTTGAGGGGATGTATGGGAACAACTAGTCTGATGGATAATACCATGAGTACCACAAAAGGTAATCACAATATATTGCACATATTCTAAGGCATTATCAGACCGAAATATCTTAATACGTTTGCCAAATTGAGTAAAGATTTCATTATAAAACTTAGAGATGATGGAAGGCAAATCAGATCTTTGTTTCATTACGAACAACCAAGTCATCCTAGACTAATCATTCACAAAAATAACAAAATAAAAGAAACCATTAACAGTGGGAGTTTTAGGACCCTAAATATTTGTATGGACAAGAGCAAAAAACTCAGACATACGAGTAACATTACGACTAAGAAAGAACTACGGTGATGCTTCCTAAATTGATAGGCTTCACACTCAATCTGAGAAACATGACTCAAATCAGGAACAACTAACTTGAGCTTGGCCAAGGAGGGATGACCCAAGCGAAAATGCCACTGAAGAGGAGATACAGTAACACTCAGCACAGCAGATAGAGGATGAGGAGAGGTCTCAGTGCCCAAAAAGTATAAGTCATCCTTCTCATGCCCTGAACCAATTATCCTCTTGGTCTGGAGGTCCTGCAAAACACATGAAGTAGCAGAAAAGGTTATTGAACAATGGAGAGCTTGAGTCAATTGGCTAACAGAAAGCAAATTAAATGGAAACTTAGGAACATAAAGACCAGAAGGTAAGGAAAAGGATGGAGTGGGATGGAGTGGACCTTGACCACAGACAGGCCGAGAAGATCCATCAGCAAGTATAATGGTATGATCAACAGGTCTAAGAGTATCAAAAAGAGAGGAATTACCAGAGACATGAGAACTAGCACCAGAGTCTAGGAGCCAAGGCTGAGAGGACTTAGCCACACATGCAATATTACCTGAACTAGCCATGGTAGTAGAGGAAGAAGGTAGACTAGGCCGGAGAGACTGGACAAGGGCAGTAAGCTCACTAATTTGAGTAGTGAGTGTCTCATGCGAAGTACCAGGAGAAGCATCCGAGCCAATGGACAACAAGGAAAACTGTGAGGAGGGGACATCCATAACCTGATGGACATGATTAGGTCTGCCATACTTTTGCCAACACCAAGGTTCAGTATGACCTTGGGAACCACAATGAGTACACTTGCAATCACCACGTGTATGAAAACCAGGTCTACTACTACCTCCACTACGGAAACCACCACGTAAGCCACCACCAAGAGAACCCCGTGAACCGGAATAAGAACCCCATGAACTAGATAAACCATGAAAACCCTCGCGAGTGGACCCATGATCACCACTACTAGAGACCAATGCAGAAGATGACAAAGTAGAGGACCCAGAGGTGGATTGTGCTTGTCCCAATGAAGAGCGTAACAGCCTAGAATAGGCATTGGCAGCAGAAG